AGCATCTTTTCATGTGCTTTGGACTATTTGTGTCTTTTCTTTAGAGAAATGTTTATAAACTATAGCATGTTTTTAGAAGACAATTTAATATTGTGGCTCTTCTCAATGCTTTTTTGTAAAAACAAACCTTTCAGGTTGAAAGTTCAGACATCAATTACACAGCTGAGTCACTCTACTTTTTCTCCAGGGTGGAAATGGTTGTATAAATAAAAATAAGCCTCTATGATCCTTCTAAGAGATTTTTATTTGTGATTTCAACATGACCCATGGAGTGTATAGGATTATTTTTGTTCTGATTGCATTGAGGAACACCCCTAACCTATTCAATATTTTCTGAACCATTCACACACCCTGAAAAGGGAAAACTATAGGGCTGTGACACCTTCATCATGTAGGTGCATGTGTGTGACTCAAAAAGACACATTACTTAAAACTCAGCCTGAAGTCTCTTCAACCTATTGCCATTTCCTAGGTAATCAAAACAACCAGTCAAATTAAAGGCACTTGTAGAAGACTAAATCCTACCTTCTCCTTGCCTGACACATTCCCTTCCCTTCCCTGTGCTGAAGAATCATGAGAAGACTAAAGCGATTTGACAGAAAAAGACAGATGCCTAGATTAGTATTAAAGTATAATATTTTTATATTATTAAAATTAGTTATATTATTGAAGCCCTCCTAACAAGTTACAAAAGTTTTCCTTTTTTAAAATTCAGGCAGTTATAACAATGGACACATGTCAACCAAAATGAAAACGTCATCCTGACAACTGAGTAGATACTACTATTTATTTATTTGGTTTTTTTGTTTTGTTTTGTTTTTGATACCAGGGATCAAACTCAGATCCTTGTGCTTGCAAAGCAAGCAGTGGAATCACTAAGCTAAATCCCCAGCTCAGATACTATTATTTAAACTTTTCTCATCACCTTACTTTAAAAAAAAAATAAGTGATGGGCCAGGGATTTAGCTCAGTGGCTCCGTGCCTGCCTGGCAAGCACAAAGTCCTGAGTTCGATCCCTGGTACCAAAAGAATTAAATAAATAAATAAAAATAAATAATTGTTAAAGTATTGTGGTTTGTTATCATTATGTATATCTAAAATGTACCAATAAAATTAATTTTACAAATAAATAAACAAAATATTGTGGTTCTACCTGAAGGGTAAAGACAGCTTTGAGGTAGTAGTATGAACCCTTCTGCAGCATATGAGGGGGCAAGCAAGGACACATGCATCTTGCACTGAGAGTCAAGAGCTGCATCTTCTCTCCTCAGCAACTCTAAGCTCTTGGGTAATAGTGGAAAGGGGAGTGGTGGAAACAACTAAGCCTTAGCTTCCAAAGATTCCACGGGCCACTTGAAGTGCTTGAAGAAACACTTACTGTAAAATAATTTAGTTACCTTATCCCCAAACTCTAACTCTTAAATAAAACAAATGGATACACAGGACACACTATTGGTTTTCTATCCCGTAGGAGAAACATTCCTAGCTTTCTATCCATCACTGCCCCTCTGCTCCAAAAGCTTTCAAGTGGATGAGGAGTCACTGAAATCCTTTCAGGCCACAAGAGGAAGGGAAGAAGGTGCCTAGGGAGAGCTGCCCAGCTTGTGAGAGAACTTGTATCCCTCCCTGTCTCCTGATCTGAGAACCTGAATGAACAACAGATGTTCTACCATCTCTTCCAGGCCATGAAGCAATGTACAGATGGCAGAAAGTCATTTCCCTAAAGGAAACCTGCTGGACAACAAAGCAGAGTCCAGGTGTCCTGGAATTTAAATCTTTGACTTCGCTCATTGCTGTCTCCCCATGTTGTTAATTTTAGATTCATCACTTGATCTTCAATCTCCTTACATGGGATTAACTCCAAATAGGGTCAATGTGAGATTGTTTACTAAAACTGTCTCCTTTTTTGTTAGCGTCTTAAACTGATGGCCAAGCAGTTTTTCCAGATCTTAAACAAAATTAAAGCAAATAAATAATGACTAGGAATAAGATATTTTTCCTTAAAACCCATGGAGTGATGGACTTGAAGAAGGAATCCAGAAAGTGGTAAATACAACTATGTGTGGCCCACATTGTTCATCCGGACCTATAGCCCAGAGAAGTGGGAACTTTTTTCAATGTGGGCCAGCTAAGCTGGTGTTTTATAATTACGGGTGTAAATTCAACACCTGCATCCACTCTTTATTGTCTCTAATAGCAGTAATGGCACATAATGTCTGAACTTATCAGAGGCAAGTACTGCCTTAAACATTTTCTATGTAATCTCATTTAATCAACACAACACCCCTATGGTACAGAAAGTATTATTATTCCCAAACTATACCTGAGGAAAATCAGGTTTAAAGAGATTAATTTGTCCAATTATTGCTTGGATTCAAACCAGTATGGGTAATGCCCATTACCTCTCTATAATCTGCCCACTGTGGTAGCCTCTAGCCTCATGCACCTATTAAGCATCTGAAAAGTGAGGAACAGGAATTGTTTAAGTAATAGGAATTGTTTCTTGTGTTTTGAATTACTGGAGATTAAACCCAGAGCCTTCACACTGAGCTATATCCTCAGCATTCTTTTTGTTTTTTATTTTGAGACAAGGTTTCGCTAGGTTACTAAGTTGCCCATTTTGGGCTCAAACGTGCAATCTTCCTGCCTCAGCCTCCCAAGAGTTCTGGGATTACAAGCATGCACCACTACAGCTAGCCTAGATTTTTAAAACTTAATTTTAATAGTCATGCATAGCTAATTCCTACATTACTGGACAGTACAGCTCTATAGTATGAGGACTAAATGCACACAGGACTTATGATCATATCCCTAAATCTTAATATCACAAATAATTTTAATTACAGAAGATTGACAATGATTAAGTATGCAGAGAGCCCGTGTGGCATGACAGCCTCTAGGATAGGTCCTATCTGAGTTTGAGATCCAGCTCTACCAGCAATTAGCCATGTGATATGGCTTGTGACTAAATTTCTAAGTCTTAGTTCCTCAACTATAATAAGGAGTAAATGTACCTTTACCATGGGGTTATTGTGAGAATTCAATGGGATAAAGTATTAGAGCTCTTAGTGCAATTGCTCAAATGTACTAAGTACTAAATAAATGTGCTAATAATGACAACAACTAAATTACTGTTTTGATTTTTAATGTATAAGTAATAATTCCATTCCTCAGAAAAAGCTACAAGTTCTTAGTGACTCCTACCTTATCAATGTACCTGAGTTTTTAAATGTTTCACTTTGAAACTAAACCTTACATCAAAGTTGCAAGAATAGTACAAAGGACTCTAGTATCCTCTTTACCTAGATTCATTAGTTTTTAACATCTTGTTACATTTACTTTATTATTCTCTGTATTTTTTTAAACTATTGGGCCCTTTGCCCCTTAACACCTAAGCGCATGAAGTATGTTTCCTAAAAAGAAAGACATCTCTTAACATAACAAAAATGTAATTATCAAATGCAAACACTAATACTTTAATCTACAGACTCAATTTTAATTTCATCCACTGTGCACATAATGTCCTTCACAGCAACTTCTCCACTCCTACTGAGCAGGATCCAGTTTAAGACCATATGTGTCTTTTAGTCTTGTTTAATCTTTAGTCTTCAATCTTTAGCCTTTCATAACTGATTTTTTGGAGAGGACAGGCCAGTTATTATATAAAATGTCACTCGGTTTGGTTTTATCCAGTTTTTTCTCATCATTAGATTCAGGCCATATGCATTTATAGCAAGACTACCACGTAACTGGTTGTATTCTTTCTCACTTACCAGTACACAATGTCCATTCACCCCATACTGGTGACATTAATTCTGAACACTTAAAGAATTGCCGGGTATCTCCACTGTACATAATTATTTTCTTCCATAATTAATAAATAATTTGTGGAGAAGATATTTGGGGGATACTCAAATATATTATTCCCCAAACTCTCTCTAGTTCTACTAGATTTAGCATCTTTCAATGATTCTGGCATCATCAACCTTTATTATGATGTCCCCAAAATGATGATTTTTCTAACTCCATCATTCCTCCACATTTAATAATTAGAATTCTACTCTAAAGAGGGGCTTCTCCTTCTTCCCTCACTTACGTATCTACTTATTAACTGTTTGCTATAGGTTCTTACTTTACTCAGTGGGTTCCTTTGAGTTTTCAAAAGTATTCTTCAATGTAGGTGACAAGAAATTACCCAATCCAAATTCAATGGCTGGATTGAAGCCATTTCTTAGGCAAAGTTTACTACTACTAGGCAAAAAGGAAGCTATTAACTGAGGACACCACTCATCTTAGATGCTTCTAAGCAAGACAGGTTTAACAGCCGAAGGCTCTACAGTTAGGACTCACGCAATAGACAATATGAGTTATTACTACCAAGTTGCAGTGTTGCTCATCATCAGACATGATATCATATCCCAAAAATTCCATCCAAACAACACATCTATTTCTCCACAACTAGCAAACTTGAAATGTTCTGGCAATTTCAAAAGGACATGATTTACAAATAGTAGGTAATATTTGGATCTTTCCATGAGAGCTGGGTTCCAGCTTTTTTAATAAAATACAAATGATTTCATTTTGGAGCTGTGTCACATTCTCAACAAACAGCTCCTCATATCAGAAATTAGGCATGTGTTATATACAAATATAATGGGTTCGTGCATATTTATTTTGTGGTCAGAGACCACACACTCAGTGGCTATTTACAGTATTTATAATGTTGCTGATACTACAAGGAAGGTCTCAGAGCTAAAACCAAAGCTCAGGCCACACAAAGTATGACTGCAGGTCTTGCTGTGTCCACAGAAGATGTGCGTCCTGTTTCCTTCCTGTGAATGCTTATGTATGTCATCCAAATATCAGCAAATGTGCAACTCCAAATGTAACACTCTTTCAACTCTGTTATTATTTCAATGAAAACAAGCGTTTTAAAAAGTTTTAGGCTCATTATGACCTTGTGCTAACAATGAGTTTGGAAAAGTTTTTTTAAATCTTACCAAGAAGAGTCTGGGGACCCCAGTGGCGAGTCTCTCTGTTTTCAAATGCCAGACCAGGGGTTGCAGGGAGTTGAGCAGAAACACAACAGGCTTGTGGTGAATGTAGACTGAGGAGATAGGCTTCAGGTGCAGCGTGACCTAAGAAGCAACAGAACAAGGGGAGATCTTAGGACTGACTTGCCACACAAATCACACAGAGCAGCATCTGGAGATTTTTTCACTACTCACCATTAAGAGGACCAACCTATAAGCTAGCTCCAAATCTACAAATAAGATATATATCACATCGAACTAAATGATATTGCTGATAATGGATCTTTTATTTTTTATTACAATATGGCTATTTCATATGGTTCAGCACTACTAATTCTAACTAAAACAGACTCAGGTCCCCAAAGTAGAATACTGATAAACGAAACACTTTTTCAATTCAAAAGTACCAAAGGCAGAATAAAAGTTATCTTCCCCTAGTACTGTCTAATCTTTCAAGTCAAATTACTAAGATGAAAATTAAAGAACAGTTCCTGGTTCGCTTGCTACCTGACTTGCTCCCCCATTTGACCCCCATTTAATCAATATTACCTGGGTGACTGTACTTGTAATCTTATTGGCTGGTCATGGTTTTGTCCCACCTCATGCCCACCTTGTAAATTTCCATTGGGTCTTACAGTTTTGTCCCACTTTGTACCTACCTCACCACATGGCTTTGTTGTATAAAACATCCTTGAAAAGTGGGGTGGGTGGGCAACCCACTATCCAGTCTCCCTTCTGTCTCTTAGGTAGAAGCTTTCTACCAATAAATTTTTCCTACTCTTAAAAAAAAAAATTAAAGAACAGAGTCCCCTAGGGTATGTCATCCTTCTGGACCTTCAGAGAAATGACTTTCTTCTCTCTCAGGTAAGCTCCATCCTCTATAAAGTTGAGTTTTGCCAAAGAAAAGCGCTGAAAGCAAAGAGAAAGAGGCTTCCCGGGAGAGCTGCCAGTGCTGTCATCATCCCAGCTACTAAAGTGAAGGGATTTTCCAAAATGAAGCACAAGAACACATAGAATAAACACTGAGTGTATAGAGCCACCACCAAAAAAAAAAAAGGAAGAAAACTGTGAGTCTGGACAGGAACACTGTGCTCAGTTTTGACAGAGGATCAAAGACTATTATAGGTTGCCATTATCATCATTATATCATCAGAAAGAGGCCAGAGAAAATGGACTCAATAATGTTCTCTTGGAGTATATGATCCACCATCAGTCCATGTGAACCCAGGAAAGCAAAATGTGCAGAGAAATACAGACTAAATGCTTTCATTCAATGTGCCTCACACTAGCTTTCCATTCAGAGAGGTGAGGCGAGAACCACACACTTAAGCAGATTGGCGAATGCACCAAAGATCACCATAAAGTAATAAGAGCAGTAAAAGACCCATCCCCTAAAAAGAGCTTAAGCTGGAACGACACAGACTGAGAAATACACGGGGAACAGTGGTACACAGTTATAACCCTTCTGAGGAATAAATGGTCTGGCTCTATGATCTGACTGTAGACAATCAGGGAGACATACTAAACGCTGACTACTTTACAGCCTCCATGATTGCTGGCTCACTTCAACCTCAAGGTACCTCTACCTATTTTTCAGGGACTGCGTATGATCAACAGCATTTATTACAGAATGTTCTCATGTCATTAATAAATAAGGCACTAATCTTCCAAAACCCATGCTTTAGAACATGGTAAGCATTCCCTAAATGCCAACCGAATGTTTCAATTCTGTACTTTTCAATATCACAAAAATACTTTATTCTATGAATAATTTGTACTTAGTACCTAATACTGTGTTGTTAGTTAACTATTGAGTGAGCACGTCCTAATATCCAAAACAGACTGTAGGCAAAGATGTCTTACATCAGAGGTGTACCACATTTTGGCTTTCCTGGGCCACAATGAGCAAAGAGGAATTGTCTTGGGTCACATATAAAATATGTAATATAGCATATTTTACTATATATATTATTTCATGTATTTTCCAGAACAAAAATTTTAATTATTTTTATTGTAATACTGAAATAACACAACAAGCCAAAATTTTGTAATTAAATAAGAAAATGTACATGTCTGATTAATAACAAGACACCTGCCTTCACAGGCACATGCATGTATAGGAAGATTGAACCATTATTACCAGTAACCGTGCCTTTTACTTATGAAGTCACACAAGTTCACGTGATTCTGAAACAAGCAAGTTTCCATTCAACTGTGTGTGGTGGGCATGACAGGTGGAGTTAGCACTGCACTGTGCCTTCCCCTACATGGTGTTTCCTTGTCACCTAGAGAGTTCATAGTCAAGCACCACACAACTGAGGCAAGAAAAATATCACCCCAAATCTCATTATAATGTTAAAAGCTTAAGATCTTTTAGAGCTGGTATTACTAGCTGTCCAGAGCTACAGGTTGGATTTGCCTGCTTTACATTTAATACTGTGCTTACCATATCATGAACAACAAAAATGTCACAGCAAACTCATAAATCTACGTCACCTAAAAGGTTAACAAAAAAAGCTGAAGATAAGCTCAAAGCGATTTAGCTAGTTAATCTGCAGAAAAAATACAAAAACATAAACAATACTCAAACTGTCATGGAGCTATTTGTGCACATAGCTAAGATCATTTTTGTACTTCACATAAGCATAATGCCAAATCAAAGTACCAAATGAACTGTGATGCCAAATACAGCTACAGCAAAAAAATGTGTTCCTTGGTTATAGAGTCTCATGACACACTGGGGATGTTATTTGCAACCAGAAATAAACAGACTGATAATCACCGAAAACGAGAGAGGCAGTAGAAACAGAGCAGAGGCAAAGATAGAAACTGCAGAGTTAACTGAATAAAGGGATGCATAATACTAAGAGCACACACCACAAGAGTGAAGAAAAGAGATACACTTGTCCAAGGGTACCTGATAACTACAAAACACTCTGACTCACGCATAGCACATGTCAGCAAAAGGTTTCCCTATTGATTTTTTCGAGAACTGTTTATTGGGCACCATAATAGTACAAAGAATAGCAAGCAGTGTGTTTCTGCAGGTGTATATCTACAATATGTATTTGTATTACATCTTTTTCTGGTGATTTTCTTTTCAGTCCTTAGGCCTACAATTCTTAAAGCTCTTAAATACACAAAAGTCTTGTTCAAAAGGTATACTATAAAATAAATAAGTACAGATCTTAAATGAACACGAACTTTAAAAAAAAAAAAAGCTTCTCAGGTCCAAAACTTCCCAGATGGTCCAGAGTGTCAAGGCCTGGCTCAGACAACCAAGGAAAGATTTCTAGGAGTTTCAGCTCTCTGAGCTTTCCTGGAAATGGCTCCCTCTTCAGTATGTGGCAATGTCTGGCCAAGAAGAATCTCTTGACTCTGGCACACAGGTCCCAGGCAAAGCCCCAAAAGCCATTTTGCAAAGAATAATTCACACTATGATTGGGAAATTAAAAGAAAAATATGTAATACTTTTTTTAGAAAGGTCATTTGGCAGAGACAAAGAGTCCCATGAGCACAGTCTCACCTAATTCCTCAGCAATCTTCCTCCTCTATACAGTAATTCCTCCATTTAAGCATACCTTGCCAAAGGGAAGACAAACCACTAAAAACAATCAACAAAAGAATGAAGGCATAAAAGCTCCCAAGAATGTGAGAACATACCTCCACTATCTCAATGGCTAAAGTGCCTAATTTGCCTAGGCTGAAAAGAAAATCCTCTTCAGGAACAGTTACAGCTCAGGAACAGATAATAATTAGAATCATAAGAATCTTGCTGAGGTTTTTGCACAGTTAGATTGTCCAGAGTTTGTGGTCTTAAGGTGAGAGCTGAGGCAGGCTGCACAAAAAAATACCTCATGGAGTAACAACACAAATGGTATCAAACAATTCCTATCTGAGAAATCTAAGCAGTAGTTCAAAGAGTTGAACCTCAATCCTTCATCACATTTATATATAAAAATACATGTAACAGCTTAATCTGAGGCCTTCAAAAGCAGTATGGAATTGAAGATAGGGTGATATAAGCTGGGAAGGGGCTGTACTCCACACGAAGGGACAGCAACTAGTCTCCAAATCATGTTAATCTTTGGGTGTTAGAGAGCATTTGAGATCTCAGTGCAATATGAACCCTCTCTTCATATATACATAAACACAAAAAAATCCACATTACATAAAATTTTGCAGACAATGTCAAGAAAATACATCTATTACAGATCTCATGAACTCCAGGTTATGTGTCCATTATCTCAGGTTCAGCAACTAATTGTAAAGGGCTGGAAAGTTCTAATGGTAGAAACAGAAACAAAATAGTTCCATTTAAGTAAACTAGAAAGCATACTCTGGTCGTAAGACGTCATCTTTTTGGGGAAAGTACTTAACAGGTGACAATTCAGAACTAACAAACTTTCACATGTAGTTTCTAGGGTTTCATTGGCCTCTGCAAACCCATAATTTGATCACATACTGGTCCATGAAGCCCAGTCCGAGTCCCTGTCTAATCATGTTTGTCTCAAACTATGCTGAATGTTTAGTCTTCCTGGGGGTGTGAGAAAGAGCAAGTCTGCCACGTGTAGCCACTGCCCCCACTGATCTCTTTCCCTAAAAGGAAAGCAAATTGGTCTAATCAGTTCTGCAATATCTATTTATTATTCTAGGTCTTCTGAGATTACCTACATACTTCAACTAACATACTAGCTGTAATTTTATAAAGAAATTCAAAGCAAATCTTTTCTGAGTGTTTTTCCAGGGAATCTGAATACAACTTTGTCCAAAGTCAAGGTCACTCTACAGGGCCTAAGTCTCAGAATGGAGAGACGATCTTTCTACCTCTCATTTGGGAAGTATGGCCTTTCTCACATTATCACCAGAAAATAACAAGAACAATATTCTCCGGACTTTTTTATGGTGAAGGCTTCTTAGTTTTCCAAGAATTATTAGGAAAAACCATATATATATATATTTTTTCAAACTCTGTAAATCACTTTATGAAAATCATTTATGTACTTATAGGAAGGAACAAAAACCTACTCTCTTTATGGAAATATCCCACATAAAAATTGTTTTTTAATTTCCCAGAATTCACAGTCTAGATGCAAGACATTCCT